AGAGAGAGAGAGAGAGAGAGGAGAGAGAGAGAGAGAGAGAGAGAAATCTCAAAGAAAATGTAAAATGTCGGGGATTAGTATAAAATGAAAGGGAGGCGACCCTCCTTTATATATGAGAAGGAAAAAGTGAAAAAAGAAACGATTCATGAGCCTTTTAATGTCCTAATAGATTAGACTTAAATTCTAATCCATTAGATGATCTAAAAAATTACTTTTCTTGGCCCAAAATGGAAAGATTTGATACAGAGTTGTTGCCAATCATTAAAACATTGTCATAATCATTTATACACTCGTTTAAGCTTCTTCTAATCGATTAGCTTAAGGTTATAATCAATTAGATACTTCAAAAAATCATCCAATTAATTATATTAAGGTTCTAATCGATTTAGTTCAAAAATATCTTCCAATCGATTGTTTTAAGGTCTCAATCGATCAGTTAGTTCATAAAGGCTTAAAAATAAGACTGACAGTATCTTAATCACTTGGTTCAGGTTTGATTGATAGATAAAAAATTGGTTTCAAGTGTGTGTTTGAGTTGCCTTAGTATCTTAAAAGTTACTTCCTTACTTTTATAAAATTCTGGTCACTCATAGTGACATGACTAGGCGGACTTTCACACTTCCTCTCTTCACAACTCTGACGCCTTCAATATTCTTTGCCAGATACATTGATCTTATAAGCACTTCAATGAAGTCTTGATTCCCCTACTATATGTGGCTTGAGATGTCACTAACTTTGGTTACCGTCATCATAGATTTGGAAAATCATTACCACTGACTTTACAGACTTCAACAGTCATTGATGTTGTTGTCATCAAAACTTTAGGAAGGTTTATCAGTAAGATCGTCAACTTTATACCTGCAAGCACATAGATCCATATTAAGTTCTCCATGAGAAAACTAAAGACGTTAAGTAATCTAAAATTAACAAATTGATAAAAGAGAATGGACTCTTTCGCATGGAACCCAGTGAAATTGTGGCTTCCATGCAGATGAGGTTCTCCCACATAATCAACAAGTTAGAAAATTTGGAAAAAAGTTTATCTAAACAGAATTGTACTAACAAAATATTAAAGTCTATGTGCAGGAAATGACAACCAAATATGGCTTCCATAAATCTAATAATCTTAAACCACAAAACATATATACTATATTTGGAAAACTTACTAAGCATAAACATGAGTTAAAAAGACTTGAAGCAAGTGAAATAAATCTAAAAAATAAAGATAAAGATAAAGAAGAGAAAAAAAACATCTCCTTGAAGGCATCCACTTTCAAGTCCAATGTAGGGGGTGCTAAAGATAGTTCTGATGAAGACTGTTTGAAAGATAAAGAGACGAATATGTTTGTTAAGTAGTACAACAAATACATAAAGAGAAACAAACTAAAGAATATATATAAGAACTTAATGAAGTTTAGAAAATCTAAATCGAGAAATGGGAAGATAAAAACAAAGAAAGAAAAACAAGTGACCTATTTTGAACATGGTAATCCCAAACACTACAAAAAAGTCCAAGTTTAACGAAGTGCAAAAGCAAACAACCATTCTACAAGTCCAAGAGCCAAGACATACAACATAGGAAATACATTGCTCGATAAGAAAAAGAAGATTCATCATCTTCTAATACAAGTTTAGATTAAAAAAAGTAACTAATTTTTGTTTGAAACACGAAGCGACTTAAAAGTAAATGATTCAGAATCATACTCATTACCTTCTTATAATGAGTTGTTTGAAACTTTACATGAAATGCATGCTGAATTCTTAAATGTTTTTTAAAAAATTTCTCTAAAAAAGAAAATAATTTTGAAACTTATCGAAAAAATTTTAAACTTAAAAGTGCTTCAAAATTCTTCAAAGATGATTACATATTTCTTGTTTACAATTAGGTAGTTATGTACCTTTAATACTTTAGAAGAAAAATTAATTATAATTGAATGTGATACTTTTCCATTCTAAAATTTGAAAATGATAACTTAAAAAGGCAGTGGAGTCATGATATTTTTCTAGTTTTTTGGTAGACGAAAAGTGTGATGTATATGTTCTATAATTTGCAGATGATACTTTGTTTATAGGGAATGGTAATTGGAAACACGGTTGGGCTCTAAAAGTTGTTTTAAAAGGGTTTGAGTTGGTTTCCAGGTTGAGAGTTAATTTTCACA